AGAGATGCAGAGAAGTTCAAGCACAGAGTCAGCTCTGAGTCAGGGACCCTGATGCACTGACACTTGGGTTTCTCCTCTGAGTGACTGATTAGGGGGTGGGGAGATTGTACACAGAGCCAGGAAGGGCAGAGCTGGGGAGGGCTGGAGGGAACTTGGCATGAGGGGCCATCACCCATGACACTGGCTAAGCATGTGTCTAGGGAGTAGTGGGCAGGGGCTTCAGATCTGACCAACGCCCACTGACCTCCCGTCCCCACCCACGCCGCAGGCTATCAACCGTGCTATGCAGAAGCCCCAGGAAGAGTACAGCATCGGAGTGCTGGACATTTATGGCTTCGAGATCTTCCAGGTACAGCCCCTGCCTCCAGCCCACATCCCGTCCTCCTAGGGCAGCCCAGTGTGGCCACCAGAACTTCCAGCACCAGGACATTGAGGGAAGGACCCTTTTCTTCCTTCTGCAGAAAAATGGCTTCGAACAGTTCTGCATCAACTTCGTCAACGAGAAGCTGCAGCAAATCTTTATCGAACTCACCCTGAAGGCTGAGCAGGTGGGCAGCCAGGAGGCCAGGGATGGGATGGGGGATCCTGGGGTAGTGGTGGGGTGGAAGGACCATGGGGATCCCTTAGCAACTAGGGGACACCCCAGCCTTTCCCACCACGTTCCCACCTCTCTCTGCCAACCTGCCCAGGCTCCATAGCAGTAGCTCCTTCTGACTTTAAAGCTTTGGGAAGGACCGTGCCTCTTAGTTCATTCATTCAGCAATTATTTATTGAACACCTGTTGTGTGCCAGTCACTATTTAGGGTACTTCGTGACACAGCCATGAACAATAAGGCAGTAGTCCCTGCTGTCTTAATTTTGCCCTTCCCCCAGAAGCAGAGCCTGAGGCAAGGATTGAGGGACAAATGGTTTTTCTGGGAGGCAATCCCAGAAAGCTCCAAGAGGGGAATAAGGAAGTGAGACAGGAAATTTTTTTTCTTTTTTGAGACAGGATCTCGCTCTGTTGTCCAGACTGGAGTGCAGTGGTGTGATCACAGGTCACTGCAGTCTCTACCTCCCGGACTCAAGCCATTCTCCCACTTCAGCCTCTCAAGTAGCTGGTGCCGCAGGCCTATGCCATCATGCTTCGCTGATTTTTAAAAACTTTTTTGTAGAGTCGGGTTTTCACTTTGTTGCCCAGAGTGGCCTTGAACTCCTGGCCTCAAGCAATCCTCCCGCCTTGGCCTGCCAAAGTGCTGGGATTACAGGCATGAAGTAACATGCCCAGCCCTGAGACAGGGATTTCTTAAATAAAGAGAGAGAGAGCCAGACACAGTGACACACACCTGTAGTCCCAGCTACCTAGGAGGCTGTAAGAGAATCACTTGAGCCTGGTTCAAGGCCAGCCTGAGCAACATAGTGAAACCCCCTCTCTACAAAAAATACAAAAATTAAGCCAGGCATGGTGGCTCATGCCTGTAATCGCAGTACTTTGGGAGGCCAAGGCAGGAGGATCACGAGGTCAGGAGATGGAGACCATCCTGACTAACACTGTGAAACGCCATCTCTACTAAAAATGCAAAAAATTTAGTGGGGTATGGTGGCGCATGCCTGTAGTCCCAGCTACTCAGGAGGCTGAGGCAGGAGAATCACTTGAACCTGGGAGGCAGAGGTTGCAGTGAGCCAAGATCACAGCACTGCACTCCAGCCTAGCAACAGGGTGAGAC